GTTTCTTTTTCTATGTCTGCTTTATGTGAATTTGCACTATAGAAATAAACTGAATTGAATTCTGATGCAGAGTTCGCCAGAAACTTGGTCAGAAGCAGAGAATCCTCTGATTGGCTGATCTATGGCAGAGCACAACACACCTTCATGTCCGCTGGACGTGATGCCCACTCTGAACTGCAGATGGCCGCTGACGTGGTCGGTCGGCAGGCGGCGACACAAGCTGTAGCTGACCTGATGGTCCCTGTGGGCCACACACACACACACACATGAGGGGAAACATCCCGCAGAACCAACGCTCAACCTGGGGTCAGTGGGAACTCACTCTGGCGGCCCCTCTAGGAGCCTCTGCACGGGGACGGCCAGCTGACCCAGGAAGCGCTTGATGATCGGTCGGCTTTTGGCAAACTTGTCCTTCACTTCAATCTCCAACACGTCTGTCATCAGAGCCACGAAGGTGTACTTCTACCAAAAACAGAGACACCAATGCATTTTCAAAAGAAACACCTAAAGGCATCATGATTAGACGTAACGGTGATTGGTTTTTATGGAAAAATAAGACGGTAGAAAAACTGTAAGCTGTTGAGAGTGTGCTGACCTCCCCGTGCCACACAGGGCTGATGGTGTTGGCTATGATGGTAGAGCGCCTCTCCTGGCCGTGGTGAGTGAATTTGGGGAGGCCGCTCCTTTTCCCGGGCTGGATGGACATCTTCAGGTAGGGGTCGGGGTTAAAAAACATCCCTTTCTTCAACCCCACGGCCCGGATGTCTTTAAAACACACACACATATCAGTATATTGATCCGGCATCCTAAACACTGCCATGGCAGGGCTCCTCTTACCTGATAGCGTGAAGCTGACCAGTTTTCTGCAAAGCTCGCCTCCCGACTGCTCGTCCGCTTGGCTTTCGCTCCTCACCTGAACATTTGAAATGAGCTTTAAGAACATCAATGGGAGAAAAAAAACCAATGAACCGATCCTAAATGTTTGTGAAAGTGGAGAGCAAACCTCAGTTAAAGTGTTTCATTGTTGTGTTTCTGCTTAAAATGCATAAATCTACACATCAGTCAGAGAAGGCATGTATGAGTCAGGAAAGCACGGTAGTGGCTCTGTCATGATGCCTTTCAGCCTTAATGTCTCTGATCTTTCTGGATAAGGAGCCTCCAGGAAATGAAATCTATGATCTATGAGCCTGACAGAGTGGTGGTGGCGATGAAGAGAGCAAAGCGCAGCCATGCTAGGTGTTACGAGCGCGGACTTACCGGTACTCTTGGGTTCTTCACAGTGATACAAGGAGTTGTTGCTCTTAATGCTCCGCTCACGCCGTGATAATATTTGAAACAGATCTTTGTCTCAGCTGCAAAGAGAACCCAGAAAAAACAACGCTGAACAAACAGCAAAATAATTCGGATTGTTTTGGGTTTTTATCTCAGGAAAATGGAATCTACGGGAGAGGATTGGGACCACTGATAAAATGAAAAAAGTTCACTGAGTTTTAAATATTATTTCAGTTTAATATTTGAAAAAAAGTCTTTAATCTCAGAATTCCGACTTTGATCTCAGAATTCCAACTTTAATCTCAGAATTCCGACTTTGATCTCAGAATTCCAACTTTAATCTCAGA